TGGCCTGCACACAAGTCTGGATAAAGATTTCAGTCAAAACACCTCTTCACATCATAGAACAGCCTTAAAATGGTACACAGATAACACAGCAAGACAACATTAAATCCGTTAGACACTTCAAAGTACGTGGATGGTTATTTACAGGCTTAGCAGAGCGACTTCAGGGAAAGCAGATCATTGACCAAAACAAGTAAAGATAGGTGCTCCAACTGCAGTATTCTCATGCAAATATTGACATTGAAAAAGCCTCAGAAAACCCAGAAGTAAGGAAATTCATGTAGAAAACTTCACCAACAACCCCTTCCCAATGCAAGAACGTAGAAGAGAACTTGATTTAAGGTAAGCAAAGATCTAAAGGGCAAATGCAGGGCAGCAAGTACATTTATTATTTACACCAGAAGCATAAACCCCAAATCTATTTAGCGTCACCCACCACAAGACTCAAAATCAGTATCAAAGAACTGTAATGGAAAGAACAGAAAGGATCTCGAGGAGTTCAGTAGTGACTGGAAAATGTGAATTTAGTAACATAGAGCCATGGAGTAAAAATTTTTACTTGGAAAGATGCAGGATAAAACAGAGTACCAGTACAGGAAAAAAATCCAACATCCTCTCAAGCATCTCTCTGATACGGCTGTTCGCTAAAGGTGCTTCTTTTGTTTCTGTAATTCTGTAACTATGCTTGTAAACAAATGTTTTTAACTGAAAAGTATGAACAAGTACAGATACGGTACGTAAACACACGAGAAGCAAGCCTGAAACCAACATCATCCTAAAGTAAAATACTTTCTTATACTTAAAATTTTATCACAGACTCCAAAATGCATTAGGAAAAAGACTTTGCATCTTATGAATCCTGGAAAATTTTCCAGGAGACTGTTTTCCAACATAAGAACTACCACATCTAACAGAGCCTGAAAAGTTTTACCACAAGGTCATGAATTTCTTCGGAGAACCATTTTAATCTTGTATTACCCTAACCTACCCGGAAAAAAAATGGAACAAAGCCATTGCTTAAGGTTTTTCATAGCATTTTTCCATATTATTATAGTCAATAGGACTACAGAAATCCTTTTGTCTCAATTTAATGTAGATTTTATTTTACCAGTTCATAAATATTAACCCATACATGGGCACAAATCTAAGAGAAGCTGGGACCTAAAAAATAGCCTAGTATTGCAATATATTCCCTTCCCCCATCTTAAGTCATTTCACCGGTACGCCACTGTTTTAAAATCACATTGCAATCAAATGCAAGCTGTTTGGGAGCAAAAGGAAAGGGAAGGGAACAGAGAGTCAAAAGGGAGCTTTATTTTTAAAAATTTCTGTAATTACGTCTGATCCACGGGGTGGATGATACTCATTGATCTTCCTGCCGGATAATCCAGAATTCTTCAACTCTATTACTGAGCCACAGGAATCCTGACTTGGGGATCCTCCTTCAGGACACTCAGGCCTCTGATCTTCAACTGGACTACGCACTCTTTATGTCCAAACTTGTACCATTCGTGGAAATAGAACACTTGAGATGAAAAAGTCCAATAACCTATTCTCTGCCCGTTCAGCCCCTGACCTGCTCAGCGCTGGCTAAAACCATTCAGCAGCTGCATGGTGCAACTGGTGTGATGTTCTGGCTGTATCGGAAGGTGACTGCTCAAAGGAACTTTCTTGGATAAAGATACAGATATCATTTTAAGAACAACTGCATAAAAAGCAGAACAAGCATACTAGCAGCCTTATTAAAAAATAAATACTTCAACAAAATAGTCTATCAATGCCTTGGACCTCCTTAGAGCACACAAAGTAACCAAGATGATCTGATGCAGAAGGGAGGAGCTGTCACTGTATATGGCTCACTCACTGGGATATGTGATCACCTATTACCAAGGCTTTAAAAAATGATGTTTGACTATTACTTTACATCCACCAAAAAGTTAGAATCCAGAAGAAATGTCTACAATTTGCACTCCAAGAAAGTACCCATGCAGAACAAGGCTTTAATGCTTGCTGTTGGATATCTATACCTCCAATCTAGGAGTCATACGTATTTAAAACCAAAAAGTCCAGCTCAAGTGCACAATATTAATGCACCAGTCTTGGACTGTAACATGAGTACAACAATTCATTGCACAGATCCCCAATTACTCCAACCACATCTTGTACAGAAGACTGAGTTTTACTCCATGCAAAGTGGAACACTGTCAAACTCCTTAAATCGACATCATAAATCGCTGTTCCTTATACATCCTAGAAAGAAGACAGACAGCCATACAGCACAAACCAGTAGTACTGCGTTTCTGTCAAAAATCAAATACAAATGTCAGCTTAGGCATTTCCACTGCTCACAGTCTGTGACTAAATGAAGGAAAATTTTCAAAGATTTCCAAAATCCTGTGACTTCCCTGTAAATAAGTACAGCATGCATGTGTTCTTCGTAGGACACTGCTTATATAAAGAAGTGATGCTGTGCCTAGCCTCCATTCCTAAACATCCTAGGACAAATAACTTGCAAAGAAAATTACAAGCAGAGGATAAAAAACAGTGGTTAGCTCTTCAGCTCCTTCCTTTTCTTTCCTTCATTTAATTTGCTTACCTGACATCAGTTTAACAACAGCTACCTAGAGCCTGTCATTCTTCCACACTAATATCATTAAGGGAATGGAGCCTCTAACATCTCTATTAAACTGGAATAAAGCAAAGTCTTCAACATGTAATGCCTCTAAGTCAACCAGGCATTACTGAAATTACTTAATCTGCAAAGTCAGTACTTACCCACCCTACTTTACCACTACCAATCACTTTACAAGAGTAGTAGCATTATCCAGACGCATTTCAAAGTTTAGTTTTAAAATTTGTTTCTGGTGTACTATTTCAGTGAGGGTGAAGTGGAACTCCAGAATTAATGTCAACCTGATTTTCAATTGCATTACATTTGGCCACTTCCAAAACAAATATACACAGGAAAAGAAATATAAAACAAAAACACTTGCGATTAATTTATTAAATTATTACTCTCCCAACACAGAGCATTACTTACCTGCTGTTGTGTGTGTTCTAAATACATATGTACAGGCTTTCTTCTTCTCCCCACCCCCTGCCCTGGTAATTCTCATACTGGGCCACATTTAATTACCTAAGCACATTGACATGCATAGGTTTCTGGAAGACTAAAATATATATTCTACCAAATCACAATCATATCAGATAGTTATTAAGTCTAAGTAAGCGAAGAAAAGGAGCTTTTGTGGGGGAAAAAAAAAATCTCCAATACTCCCACTACCATTCATTTAATTTCCATTATTTGAGAATGAAAACACAAAAAGCATCATGAGAATCTTATATTCTTGATGCAATTATTTTCAAATAACAGCACAGGCCCAACAAAAGAGATACCACGTTATAATAAATAATGCAAATTTGTTGTGGCTACTGAGGTTAGCTCCCAGTTTTATAGCATTTAATCTTCATATTTTAATAGCTACTTTAATACATTGACTCATGTATGAGCTTTGTTTAAACCATGTGTACAAAGTTCATGTGTTTACTAAAACTTACTACAAGCGGCTGAACCCAAAGTTTCTTAGCAATGATCTTCAGAACTGGGACGCTTTTTGCCATTACAGCCAGATTTGTTTCTTTTCTTAAATGCCCTAGTAAACTAAATGCATCCTTTTTACAAGTCTTGAACTACGTAGGTTGTAGAACAGACAAGGGGTGTTAAATTGCAGTGTCTCAACATGAACAAATCATCCCAAACTTTAAAATATTTCCAAAGACTAGAGCAAGTAATCAGAACCTATGGTTCATGCTGGTGATGCGATAGCCTTTAAGATGATTTAGATAGCAGAGGCAGTGTTTTCCAACTCACCCATTTGCTTCCCTCAAACTTAATATTCTCTTTGTTTGGCCAGCAGATGTAGATGATAAACTCAAGTTGGCAAGGGAGGGGAGAAAAAAAAAAAGACAAACATCATCTAACAAAAGGAGAGGGAGGGATTTGTTATTTTCAGAAGACTGAATCATCCTGGTCACTTGCAGTATAGGCCACAATAAAGCTGAAATGTTTTTGTCTTCACAACCATCACTTCAATGAGCCTCACAATTTTTTGCCTATTTGAAAACTAGGTAAAAACACTGCAGATTTTTAGCACACTTTGAGGACAAAAAAAAAAAGAAAAGAAAAGAAAACACTGCATCTCTTACTCTAGATTTCATGAGCTTTATATCTTTCCACGTTATTAACAGATATATTTGGTTAGGTGTGAATGCACAGCAAATTTCTACCAATGTTCAGTACTCTGAAATTGTATCATAATCTTCAAAAAGCAATGACAGATTTACAAAGAAAAGATACCACATTCATGAGATCTAAAAAACACAGGAGACACACACCCTAAGGCACTCAGGTCTAAACAAAGTGGACGCTAACAGGGGTTACAAAGGAGGGTTGGTGACAGGTTGGTTATCTGTGGATTCTCCTGACCCTGTCCTCAAAAATCTGCCACCTGGCTCAGAATTGCTGCTAACCTAGGTTCTCACTGGTTTCATCGGCAGAGCAAGTCCCCTATCTCTAACAAACAACAAAGGAAAAACCCAAGCACAGCCAAGAGCACGAAGGCATGTTATCACTGCATACAGTCACTAAGCAATAGTTCCACAAACATGCAAACCTAAAAAAGGGAGAATTTTAGTCTATTGGAAGATATACTGTAAACATGAGATAGCCAGGTAACCAAATGACAAACTATTATCTGACAGCTTTGAAAACCTCTCCATGTGAACTGCTTTTAAGCCAACTTGTAATAAATACCACATGCAGCTAAACTTAAAAAAAAAATAAAATCCTAAGCCAAGTTAAATAGTAACCAACGTTCAGATTTAACCATATAAAGTCTACGTTAAAATCCAAAATGACAGTTACAAAATATTATATTACTATGCACACTGTCAAATGCTTTGAATAATAGTACGCTAAGGAAATAAGTAAAAACACACTTTACCTTGTATCTCATTTTGGGGCATGAATGAATGTAGAAACCCATATAATAAAAACAGAGATCAGGAGCTTTTTCATGAAGTTGCCTAGTAAAAGCAATTTCCCTGTGAAAGGAAAGAAGATACTAATTACTTTTGAATACAATTCTTACATTCATTTTACCTCTTCATATTGAAATATTTTACAGCTACCTGGCTCTTGACCTATTTAAAGGACTAGACTTCTATCAAATAAAAAATGAAGATAATAAAACTAATGCTTAAAAAAACCCAAAGATAATAAACTGAAAATTAATGCTTAAAAAGCAAACAAACAATCAAATCACCAAAATGCAAAACACCATGTCAGGCTTAAAAATACTTTCATTTTTGTGTTTTGTCCTGCCAGTTGACTGACTTGAAACTCAAATAAAAGTGACTAAGGGCCTCTATTGAACAGGTTTCTTGTTAATATTCATGTACATGGGAATTCTACAGAAATCTGACCCAGCTATTGTACACATACTGGCTAACGTGGCTCAGGAAAACATCAGAGTATTTTTAAAAAACAAGATTCGAGGATAAGCCTCTTGTTTGTTCTCTTATTTGCATTCTAGCAATTCACATGTAAAAACATCCATCTTTATGCAACAAAAGGTATTTTTCACCTGTCCCATCTTTGTTTGTATGATTTTCTCATTTATTCTGAGAGAGATGTGTCAATGGATTCCAAAGTAACTTTGCTTTTTATTTCACTGGCACAAGGAAAATAGTATTATTACAAAGATTTCACCAATATTTCCACTGTAACACTCATTTTTACAGCATTTGTAACTTTGCAGTTCACATTTGTACCAAATTTGATAAAATATGGATGTTGGTTCTTACTTTCAATGTCGAAGCGATAAGAGGATATGAGCATATGCATATAGGAAACATGTAAAAATACTGGGTTTTTTTAATCACTTAATATTAAGCTAGTAATGAAGATGTTTAAATACATTGAAAACCTAACATTTCAGTTGCATGGAGCTTGCTGAGACCATCATGGGTCCATGATAACTATCAATACACATCCATTCCAAGCGGAGAATGTCTAGAAAAAAGTTACTCCACATCTGAAAATCCAGGTAAATACAACAGATTCCAGAAGTGAGATTTATGCACTCCCAAAAATCTACAAACATGTACTTCAGATATATATAACCTTTAAGACGTGGCATAAAGTTAAACAACGTTACTGTTTCATGCAGATTATCCTGGTCCTAATTAAACAAATACCCTTCTGCAACTCAAAAAGCTGGAACACTACAGGGAAAAAACATTTTTCCAATTGGACTACACCGTCTGATTTAATAAAACAGAAGGACTCAAAGTGAGCAGAAAGTGAAGTAAACAGACCATAATGTAATGAGGTAAAAACTGGGCTGCAGCAGCAGTCTGACCATGGGCAACAAAGCTTTGTGCAAGCGAATTAGTGCACGTGATACCAAAGCCAGCTTGCTTAAAACTACTGCCAGTGTCCTCACATGTACTACAGTCTCCAGTGATACGCCCTAGGTAAGGACCCTTAACTCAAGCTCTTGCTCTGTCTTTCATTTATCTGTTCCGCCAGCCCCACTCCAGGCAAAGTTTTACCGGGGGGATGCTAAAGCATCCTTCTCTCTCCTCTATCCCCGAGAGTGTGTTGTGATCCAATGCAAGAGAACCCTCCACCGTGTTAAACCAGGAGCAGCGATCAGGTGTCGCTGTAATGCCTAACTCGCATCTAACCTGCATTCGTTCTGCCTAAATCCCTATGGAAAAGGGACTACAGACTTGCAATTACCTTTTTGTAAAGCTTTTAGTTATGGTACACATCTAAAGAGTTATAATGGCTGTTAGTGCTTGGCACGAGTAGTCAACTAGTGAGGAAGAGGTATATTAATTTCATCAACACAAAATTCAGACTTAGTATTTCAGTGCTCCATAACCCAATTCCAAAAGAAGTTCAAGTACTTGTCCTCTTACAAAACAGAGGTTATGAATACTACGCTTGTCTACTATTCATGGGTTTAGGTAGCAGGGGGAAGGTTTAACTTTTTCCTGCAAATAAGAATCACTCAATATTTCTTAATGATTTTTTTTCACAAGTATTTCACAAGTAGCTGCTTCTCCCCTCATTCTTTACTTACATGCCTACATATTTCAAATGATCTTCAAATGCCATCCTTTCTACGACTCAGCAGCCAAAATTCTCAAAGTAGCATGAAGTGGAAGTGACAGCACCAGAATGCAGTTTAACCTCCTCGGAGTAAAATTGGCAACAGCTTTGAAGGTATCAGATTCCTTTGCAACTTCCTAAATCCTCCCTAACTCTCAAGTTTTTTTTCCCTTTTTGAAAGAAGAACAAAGTTGGCTCCCTCTAAGACTGTTGGGAACTCATTTTTATTGCCTTAAATGCTGCAGAATTTATAAGCCGCTTTTGCACTAGTTGAGACACGCACACATGTTGCACTGACAAAGTTTTAAATTTATTATGTAGAAAATTTAAAATCATTTCAAGAATTCATAAGCATGGATTATGTCAGTCTATTATTACATAAAGTAATGTGATATGTACAAATACTAAAAAACAACTCTTAGGAGGACTTAGTATTTTACGTTATACGCTCACCTTGCATGGAAAAAAATAATAAATCAGTCTAATTTCAAGTATCTAGCATATGTAATAAAATACTTCTAAAAATCAAGACCACTAATAGAAAAAAGATCAATTATAAATCATAGGAGTTCCAACATTTTTTCTACATTTTCTACATTTGTTAATTCTGATTAATTTTTTAAAAAAAATGACAATTCAGACCCTTTTAGACATAGACCACTGGAGATGCTGCAGCAACCGCTACGTTAGTGCTCATGACGACTTTGAAGGTAGCCCTGATTTGTGCTGGAAGTGGACCAGATGACATCCAGAGGTCCCTTCTCACCTCAACTCTTCTATGATTCTACAGTTTCTCATTCATAAAGGACCACTCTAGAACAAGGTGGGGAGAGCCAACGGGAAGGCAATGTTATCAGCTGTCATTAAAGGTGACATACTTGGAGAAACTGCACTTTAGGACTTACCTGACCTAAGAGCTTACCCGAGAGCGGGAGAGGGTCCTGCTCTCTCACTCCCTAGCCATTCTCACCTGCACGTTGTGGCTGTCACAACTCTTGCACCAGCTCTGGTGTTAACAGGTTCTTCACTGAGCCAACTCAGCTCACTAACCAGGTTGCTAAAGCAAACAGTCTTCTGCTCAGTAAATTAAACTGGCTAAATACATGGTTGCTAGAAGCCCAGCACATAGCAGAGACCGAGAAGAGTGATTGCAGCACCTCATTTCAGCAGCAATAAACCACTAGACTGATGTCAGCAATTTAACAGCGAACTTTGTGGGAAAAACCCTTTGACATATGCATTTGAATAACTCACGTAAAGATTATTCGGAAATCACAAAATTCACCACTGCAAAGAGAAGAATAAACCCAAAAGAAGAATAAAAAAACCCAACCAAAACCAACAAAACACCACCCCAGATTCTTAGGAAATCAAAAGATCCTAATCAAAATCTAAACAAATTACGAGTGCTTACACTTCTGAGAGATTAAATTGCACATGGTTCATTTGTTATCCCAAAAATACACGAAGTAACTGTGATAAGAAGAGGTTTCCTAAAAATAGTGTTTATGCTTTACATGTTTCAAAAGTCATGTCATATTTACCCACCCTGGTGGATAACACTAAACAATAGCTAAGAAACTCCACCTATAGAGAAGATGCCTCTCAACAGGATGCATTGGAGAAAGCAGCAAGCTGGATCCCACAATTCCAGTGCTTCTTTCGTTAGAGTGTAGTGCAAATCTCAACAGGTAAAGACTTTTGCTAGAACTTCTCAGACCTAGGGAAACTTGAAAATAGACAAACCCAGCTGCTTCCTGAGACCCTCCCTGGGAACACCGCACGTCTGTGATCAGCTTAGTTCATGTAAACAGAGAAGCAAAAAAGCCAAGAAAAAAATAGAGATGCACAAATATCTCCACTCGTTTAAGGTTTTTTTTCCTTATAATAATAATAATGGAATAATAAAATTGCTTATGGAAGAAAAACAGTAACTTGAAATTTAACATACAAGTCTTATTCACAGTGAAAACCATTACTCACTATTCCTACTGTTTTGCAAGACTAGGTTGATAGTTAATTTAAGGCTTTAAAATTCATAGGATTACTCTCTCCATCACACTTCCTAAAGACAATGAGATTAACATACCTGAAAAACATACTTAGTGCTAGTACAGCAGGAGACTACTAATTCAGAAGACAACAGTTTTTAGGTACTCTATTATTTATGATCTCAATGTGCATAAAACTATAAAAGTGATTAATTTCATTTTGTGACTGGGCTAAGGAAAATGGTCAAAGGAAAAATTATTTCTATTCAAACAAAAAAGGGGCTTTTCCTGCTGAAACCAAGCAATACTAAATTATTTCCAGGGGCAATAAAAACTAGGTATTTCATTTCTGAGTAGTTTTTTATCTTTAAAAGTATTTAGCTAACTAGAAAGACAGATCCTTATTCAAGGATGACAATTATAAATTTATTTGGAATGCAACCAACCATAGAGAATTAAAAAAAAAAAAAAAAAACAAACAACAAAAACCACAGAAATACTTTACGAGAGATAGTGTTACCAGTATATGTCTAGACTGGAAATAAAAGCTTAAGTTTAGGAACAAGTATCAATTCTTACTATTATGTCGAACCAGTAACAAAAATGTCCTCTTACCGTAACGCAGAGTAGACTCCCAAAGATAAGAAAGAATAGTCTGGATCATAGTACAGATAGACGGAGGACACGCAGTAGGGCAGGATATCAATTACACCGACAGCAATTATCTTCCCATCCAGCCAGTACTGCTGGTGGAAAGAACCATAGCCACATTCTGGTCCATTTGGCGCATGCTCTGCCTAAGCAAAAACAAGAGAGGGATGTAATTGTCAGACAGGTAAACTTTCAACACAAAAACAATTTTAGAAAGAATTTTAAGACAAAAGCATATACTGTGAGAAATTACTCCTGCTATCCATGCTTAGAAAAAGGAAAAAAGGAATTTGAGAAGCAGGGAAAACAACGTTAGTTCACTGTATCATTTCTGACCGTCATTGTACGCATGATCAGTAACCTCTACATATCACCCATGCCAAACACAAATCTGCAAACAGCCTCTGCCATCTAGCACTTACAGTACTGAAATGATCTAACAACAATGTGATTCATCCAGTTATTAATGCATTATTACAAGCAAACAAATTCTACAGATATTCTTTTTTTTTTTTTCCCCCATAGTTTGGCCTTTAATTTGACCCACTTATTCTTCAACAGGAGACGAAGCCCAAAGGCAGAAAGGTGAAATGCAGCCATTACATTACACTATGCTGGCGCTTCCCAAAGCTGGCTCGACTGCCTCCTTCCTCCCACATTTCGTGTCACGGCAGTGACCCTACTGTTTCTCTACCCCATGGCCCCAGGTACTGGAAGCACTTTGGCCACAGAAATTCAGTTTCTCAGAGTGGCCATTAAAGTTGCTTGAGAAGAGCATTTATAAAAAGAACAGACCACATTACTTTTTACAGGAGGTTTACTCTTTATGACCAACAAAACAACTTTTATCTAAGAACCTGTAACTCTCTGTTGCAACAGAAACTGTGGAGCTGCTTCTTTGTCAGCCTACATCAGAGTATCTTCTGCAAAAACACCAAGGCATCGCTATTCTGGGGTACTGCAGTTTTGGATGTGCAATGAAATATGCCTCTGGCCAGGGTAAAGCACCTAGAGCCAGAAACTGATGCTTCAAATTAAGAAGAAAATGATCTCCTAGTTTAAACTGTATTACACAACCAACTTTGGCATGCCATTTTCTCCCACGTCAAGTTTACTTTAATCCTGAATTCCACTGTGCTCAACTTAATTATCCATCTAGTTATGTTTTTCACTGCATTGCCAGATCTTCAGAAAGCTGCTTCTCACTCAATAAATCTGACAATATTGCCTACTATTACCGACTGTTTTGCATTACAACAACAGAAGGTGGGTTTAATCAAGTATTTTGATACAGTAGCGCAGACTGAAGAGATGATGGGCAGTAGAAGTTATTCTAATTGGTACCACATGTATCAAAAGAAATCAGTGACGTGAACAAAAATCATTTCAACTGACTTACCCAAGCAATAAGTCCCAAAATAAAGGCCATATAATAAAATGTTTGCATTTTCATATGGTTCCGTAGCGTAAAACCAGATACGGAGCTACAGATACCGTAAAAGTGAAACGATCAAACATTTGAGAGTTCAATCTGCAGTATACGAGGATATTAGACGTGGATACTAGCATATTAAACAGGGATTCTTCTCATTCAGGTAAAGCTTACATATTCAACAGCTATGGTTTCATATAATATCCTCAACTATTCAGTAGAGCCAAATGAAATCACATGGTCAGCAGTAAAACTTTTATGCTGGGACACAGTCAAGTAAGAGATTTGCTCCAAGGATTTCTCAGCACAGGTTAAGTTCTCCTCTCAGCTACCAGGGTGCAGCCAGTGACAGAAAAAATGAAACATCTCCTGCAAGCCAAGGGGAAATGTGATTGGTAATGTAACACAGACTTGCTTAAATAAGTTTCAGTTAAAACAGATTTTCTTTCTTTGTCAAAAACTCATCATATAGGATTTAATGAATGTTAAAAAAGATAGTCTAACCCAACACGGAGAAGATTTTCACTCAAAGCAAAGCCTTCTGAAGTTAAATGAATGCTGTGCCTGTGTGTGACCCCGAACCTCCAAACGGCACCAGACCTCTGCAAACTGAAGTATTAGCATCAGCTGAGGACTTCTAGTAAAGTGTAAACTACAGTTATTTCACTAATGCAATTACAATGAAATGTCATGAGCATAGAAGAGGCTATGTTCTGCAACAAACATAATAAGCACGGCACTGACTTCAGGCAAAATGTTCAGGGATTTCCATTACATTAAGTAAATAACATTTTTAAGGAGAGTAACGTTTTCCTTCTCCTTGAAAAGTTTTCATACAATGTAATCCTTTGTAATGCTTGTAGGTATTATATTTTCTCCAATTTCTCAATGCATACTTGGCTCCTTTAACCTAATTTCTCATGTACCATCCAGGCAACTTGACCTGAAGCAGGTCTAGAATATTAAACATTTTCCTGAAGCAGGTTATACCATTTCACACTATTCCCGTGTCCACCTGGGACCGTCTTTGTCAAAGACGATATAAAATATACCAGTGACATCAGGTGAGCAAGGCGCCCCAGAGAGAGCTTACCTTATCTACCCGAAACAATACACATTAGCCCTGGAATCAATCCACAGGGACCAACTTATTTCAAATTAACGATTTCTATTCAAACTTCAATACAATGAATTATTATAATCTGATGATATTGAAACAATCAAAAAAAGAACTAAACACAGGACAAAAATTAAAACAAATAATTTTCTCTCCAATGTTTGGACTATAATGCAGAGAAAAATACGATATATTCCATCACACATCAATTCTACCTGTCTTCATATTCTGCTAGCTAATGATTCCGTTAACACATTTGACTGCTCATATTTTATAATGCATTATTAAAATTTAAATATTTAATAGCAACTGGTATTACATATTGCCCCAATTAGTACACCACAATGTAATAACTGCTTATAATTGAACTTCAATGACGGTGAGAGCACTCAATTTTCTTCAAAGCACATTGGTCTTTCTCTTTACTTTTAAGAGATGTTTTACTTCTTCTTCTTCTGGAAATTGCACTTATTAACCTGCATGCCTGACCAATGTGCAACTGCAGGAGGCACTGCATACTCACCTACCAAAAATGGGTCCTGACCATACTAACTGCATGATTATTTTTTCTCTGGAAGGTTTAATGACATTTCCTATTTTGAACTTTTCCATTTTACCCTCTGCTGTGGATCGAGGGAGGAGGAAGATATGAAATCCATGCTATCCCTTACACAAAACCAAAAAAAGCCAGGAAACCCTTGACTTCTACACTCCAGTGGAAATTCTTTGCCGAAGAACTGAAGTGATTAATTCCAGCAGTTCCTTTCCCAAAGGCACACACACAACCTACCATATGCTAGATTTCTATCTCTCGGTTAGCAACATATTTCCTTTTCACTACTACGTCCTCCTTTCATTAGGGATTAGTGGAAATGCTGTGAAAGCAGCCTACAAATATAGGCTGTGGCGGCAGAGAGGTAGCACTGCATATTTTCATTAAAAAAAGCCAGCAATGCACCCTCACAGCATCCTGGGCTGCACCAGCAGAGCGCTGGCCGCAGGTCGAGGGAGGTGAGCTTTCCTCTCTGCTCAGCACTGGTGAGGCTGCATCAGCAGCACTGGGTCCAGTGCTGGGCTCCCCAGTACGAGAAAAATAAGGACTTACTGGGGCGAGTCCCTAAGGGCCATAAAGATGATTAAGGGGCTCAGGCACCTGAGGTATAAGGAGAACTTGAGAAAGCTGGGACTCTTCAGCCTCGAGAACAGTCGGTGCGGGGGGGGGAGTTTATCAGTATGTAGAAATACCTGATGGGAGGGAATGAAGGTAAGGGAGCCAGATTCTTCTCAGTAGTTACCACTGACAGGACAAGAGGCAATGCGTGCAAATTAAAACATGGCATTCAATCTGAACAGAAGAAAACAGGTTTTAACTGAGAAGGTGGTCAAACAATGGCACAGGTTGGCCAGAAAGTGTCTGGAGTGTCCATCCTTGGAGATATTCAACACCCATGGTCCTGACAACCTGCTCTAGCTGACCCTGCTCGAGCAGGGGGGTTGGACTAGGTGATCTCGAGACGTCCCTTCCAACCTGAACAATTCTGTGATTCTGTATCAAAACAAAAGTAAATTAACGCACTGCATCAAAACCTAAGACACTGTCTACAGAGCTAACTTCTGTACCTTGTTGGAAAAGTATCGTGTTTGAGCTATACCTTCAACTATTTAATCAGGACAGTGATAGTAAGCTTAAAATGCTAAAAAGATTAGTGAAGCTGTGAAGGTACAATGGACTTCAATAGCAAGAGACTTTGAGTATCACCATGTAAACATCATGGTGATGTCTACACCACTGTAAGAAAAAAAAAAAAATGCAATTTGCCAAGATCTCTCAATTAAATGAGTTTTGATTTAGTCCTGAGCAGTGCATCGAATGTGACTAAAATATGACATCCTACAGAAGGTGATCCTGGGAATTACAGACCTGTGACCCTGTCATTTGTTTTTACATCTCCTAAAAATTAACACATATCAATAAACAAAATAAAGTGGAGCAGAAGCTGACGTGCTTTTCGAAGAGCAAAGACCTAGATTCACAAACGCCTTTCAGTTCTTTAGGATTCAAAAGCATCTCAATACGGATAAAAGCAAATGAAGTAAGAACAAATGATCATTTACATAATGGAAAGCAGCTCACTTTCCATCGCGCTGGATCTATTCTGTTCCCCATACTGGGATGTGAATCACTGAAGACTGAACAATGTTCAGCAAACTGAGCTGAAAATTTAAAAGTATTCAGGATGGTTAAACAAGAGCTGAGTGTAAACAACTACAGAAAAATCCCACAATACCGAGTGATTAAAAAGGCAGAAGAAATATCAAATGTTCATAAATGCATGGAACGTAAACGCATGAGGAAAAAAATATTGCTATACACACATCTAAAACAATGGGTATAAATTAGCAATTTGCTCAAAAAGATGCTTTTGAGAGCAGTTTTATGAAATCATTGACTTAATGCTTAGCGTCAGTCAAAATGGAAAAAGACTAAAGAGCAATTAGAGAAGGATTTGAAAACAAAACAAGAAAACCAAAACAAATCATCACGCGACTGCGTAACGCCACGGCGCATCTGAGTACTGAGGCTCGTTCCAACTGTTGTGGCAAGGCGACATGGAACAGCTCGGGAAGGACAAATGCAGAGATGACTGTTAATGATGCCGATACAACCGCTGGCCCAGAACGCCCCCCACTCACTCAGCACCAAAACCTAGGAACCCGCCCCGAGCAGTTCAGGTTTTCCCTCTGCCCTTCTTCCATAAACGCTCTCGCTCGGGCCGCAGCGTGGTACCAGGCCACACTGGGTTTCGGTTACGGCTCCTCCGTGCCGTTCTCCTATACTGAACCATTACAACCATACCTCTCCAAACAAGGTGGCATTTGCATGTGCAAAGTGATAAAATGGCAAATGTTTAAATGGAGCTTCCATGATGAAAGGATGAATAATAAACCCAACAGTTCTCTATACATTATCCTGTTTACTGCTAGAAAATTGCCTAGTTTTCTGCTACTACAGTCTGTATCATTTTTTAAACTATTCATTTTTTGTGCCAGAGCCCAAAGCCAAAACTGAAACTAAACAGATTAATAAAATGAGGAAATAAAAAGACAGGAAGAGCTTGGGTTCCTACTATTCGCTGCTAATCACAATATTAAAAATTCAAAAAATTACAAATTGAAATCATGTAAGGTTTAAATTTGATTTTAAATTATTTTTGTTCAAAAGAATAAACAGGCTACGTGGTACTAGATTTGCTTGTGGCAACTGTTTCAGAATAAAGAATTTCAAGAATCCCTTGGCCTCTGATACATAACCCCTTTTATTTAACTTCAGCTAATTGAAGACATCTGTAGTGGTGCCACACAAAATTTAATTCAAGCTTCGAAATGTCAATAAAAAGTGTCTGTAAGAAACAATACTGGTATAAACCTGGCAGGGAAGTGTGCATCAACATCTACGTAGCCATACAAAATTAAGAATATAATGGCAGTCTGCTGCCTGAGTTGACGAGGTGATAAAAGCCTTTTTCCTATAAAGTCTAATGAGCTCTATTACTCTTCAGCTTTCAGGAATGTAAAGGCCAGTGGGCTCAGCAGAGAACAGCAACAAACTCTCCACACATGGATTCATTCAAACTGCGACATATCAAATTACTAGCGTAATTACTATAACCTGACAATTTCATTACAGTCACGCAGTACTTAACTCTTTAAGACTAACAAGAAAGACAGTGCAAGAAATCTGCAGCAGTTTGCTTACATGAAATGAAGCAACAGCATCTCTCCTGAACTTTTAACTCAGATTGCAGTCAAATACCAGTTCAGTAAGTTTAGTAATACATTTTTTTTCTTTCATAGAAATAAATCAAGAACAGAAAAGACACAGCATTTTCTGCTACTGTTTCTTAATGTAGTGATATGAAATTCAGTGGTAGCTTATTATCCCGCAAAGGAGTCCTCAGACTCCTTTGAAAACACAGTGCTATCTTCCTTACCAGTCGGTGATGATACAAGTACTGTGACACCCATCTATACCACCTATACCATAATGGTGTGCTGTCTACAGAGAGCGAAGAGGAAAGACGACATTCCTTTCAAAGCCTGCATCTACAACAACTACATACCTCCAGAGGAGAATCACAGAGGAATCGTGTGAACTGCATCGAGGTAGATTCATCAGACACATGTTCCCAAGAAGACAGTCCAAATATGCAAAGCAGAAAACCGAGAAAAATATTAGCAATACTTCAGGATACATTAACAGTCAGACAAATATGCTCTTTCAAAACCATATATTTGAAAAACACCATCAGATTTTAAGAGTTAAAACCAAATTTCCATGAACCACCTCCCACTTTCTATTTTGTTTAGAAGTACAAATAGATACAATAATTAACCATCCAAAGTACTTCCTTTCTATAAAATAGAAGAATTTTAAAAAATGTGATGCAAGAGAATTATCACCTTGTAATACAGATCTGCTTCTGGTGTCTTTAATTCTAAATTACACATTGCCCTTCTCTGTGACTGCCTGCAACAGGGAGTCTTTCCCCACCATTCCATTGGTACCTGCCCCATCACTAAAGCAAGGGGGTTAGGGCCCTCATACCTCTTAATATGAATTAAGTCTATTTACATTCAAAATCATAAGCAAGCCTGTTTTAAGGCTGAAGAAGAGGAAGAAGGAGAAAAAAAAAAAATCAACTTCCTGAAAGTGCAAGCATTTTCAAAACTCAATTCTTTACTCAATACAAAATTATGTGCTGCAGATAATCAATCAAAAAGGCAAGGTTTTAATGATCTGGAGCTTGTTCAAGATTCTAAGAGTAATAAAATATAATAGTTATTTATTTGCCATCATTTACTTATTTGATACAAATACTTCCTTCTTGGTGGATTCCACATTAAACATGTTAAAGTTCTGGTATGCATTTAACCCGCAAACACTCCTTTGTTAAAAAGCTAGTATGTGTTACACAGTTTAATTCCCCCTCTTGTAATGGCTGGATGATTTACCAAGTCAGCAGTTCGCAAACTGCAAAGTAATAGTAAACAGGAACTTTTAATTAAGAATTTAATAAAAAGAATATATAGAGACACCTACAAAAACCTGATTGCTGTCAAGATTTTGTTGTCAAGAATTCGATGAATTTCTGAGATTAATTAAAGAAGATTATTCTATTTAAAGACGAATACAGAAAATGGGGTGATTACTTCATCCCATTTTTCCCAGGGAAGGGGAGGAGAGGAAGGAAGGCAACAATAAAAAGTGCCAATATTGTAAGTTGCTGACTTAGGACGGAGTTCCATGTACAGCCTAAGTAATTAAAACTTTCTCTTTTCTTCAGAAGGTGCTATAAAGCAGACACTAGAAATAAAACCACAGCCTCTGGTAGATGTATATATCTCGATCTGCAAACATTAATTGGACCATTCTCACTGTAGCTCACAGTGAACACAACCTTGGCCTTCTTTAAGACTGTGTCTCTAAGAGAGTGCATCTGTTGATGCTAAAAGAAGCAAGACTTTGCAGAAGTCATATTTCAGACTTTTCTCCCTCAAACACCCAGCAGTATCTGATCTATGGATGAATGGTAAACCTTTGGACACAGACTTCACAGAAGAACACTGAATTTCTATAAGGTGCTGGTGGAGACAGGGGATTGTGCATTTCCTATCATTAACCATTTCAGATCTAGTCACCGCCACTCTAAATTACTCAGAGTTTGGAAGAACGAATGACTGCGTTATCTTAATTAAATTCTAGAATTTTTATTGATTTGGTGGATAGGGAGAGAGAACAAGAGAAAAAAACCCAAATAATAGTTAAAGAGAAAAAAAAAGTAATTCAAAATTTGAATTATTGAGTTATGTTCCCAAAAAAACAGAACAGAGGTACAAATTCCTACACTCTGAGTGCATCAGTCCTTACAGCCAGCGATTTTAGAATGTGCAGGCTTCAGAGAAAATAAACCATGTGTTATTAATTTTCATGTCAGAAGACCCCCAATAGTTCTTAATCTGTAACTTTACCTTTATAGTGCAAGTTAAACCCTATGGGTGAGAAAACCGAGCCAACGACACTTTTCAAATAGCTTTATCCATTCTCCAGGCTCTGCCATACAATCCCTTGGCTTTGGGGGTGAGGGGGGACTTTTTAAGTGTACCTGAGCGTAGCTGCTTGCTAGGGAGTATATACTGTTACAACCAGCTATACTCCTGGCTAGAAAAAAATTCTTAACTGCACTTGAATTTGTACCACAATCTTATGGGGAAAAAAATCCTTGCAAGTCTCATTACATATTATTTCACCTGTTGACACTTGCTAATTTCTCAGGTTAGACAATTTTCTTAATCAAGTCCTAGAAAACTTCAGAAATCTGTGAATCTTCTCTAGAAGTCAATTAAGAAACACCCCAAAGCCCAACAATTTTTTGCTGTGGGTTTGTTGTGTTTTGGTTGGTTGGTTGTTTTGTTTGTTTGTTTGTTTGTTTTTTTAAGGACGAATTTAATTGACCCATAGAGATGGAGAATTTAATAAATATTTTAGATCCACTGACCTCTGCTGTTATCTTCTCAACCCTTACTCTCCCCTCCCACCCCCAAATCCACAGCACTTTCATCATAACCCAGGAATATATCTAGTCTATACATTTACCTAAACTGAAGTAAAAGTAAGATTCAGTTTCTAAATTAACAAACTCATTTAATACTGTAAGATTATTATGAACACAATTCAAAAATGATTCAACAAATCATGAGAGAAATACAGTTAAAAGCTGGCGTTGCAAGTAAAATAACTCAATCTGTCACACAAGCACAATCAAAATTCCTTTCACAAAGTCATGTTTTTCTAATTTTAATTTCGAACTGAACTACATAAACTTTAGTCTTTTAAAAACTATATAATATATATATGAAATCCACAACATTCTTACTTTGGTGCAAACTAACTACAATTGCCAGAAAGAATCAACAGAACAACATGAAATAAGTTCAAACATAATTAAGAAAACTAAGAGAGGAAACATCACTGAGAATTAAATCCAAGCGGGGGGGAAAAGGCAGAAAAATAAAAGGAAGGTTTGATTCAACCCAAAGCCACTTGGTCAAGTGAAAGTGCATGCACAGCTTTAAAAAGCTGTAGTAAAACTAGAGTGTTAACACCTGCTTCCTTTTCCAAGCGGGGGAAGACATTCAGATGCTTTGGATGCTAAATCAGAACAGGTTTCACCCGGTAGCTCAGTAACTTCCTGCAAGTGAGGGTTACTGATGTCACACAATGACATCATAGCCTTCTCGGGGAAAAAACAGCTTTGAACTGTCATCACCGGCAACTGTAAAATTATCTGAGATCTTCAGTGGGAAGATATCACAGAAAGGCGTTCATTTATAATTTTCCCTTTGACAGTATTAGAGTTTGCTCATATTTGCAATTCACTGTAAAGGAAAACTGAGTATTCCTTTGAGTAAAGCAGGGGTGAGGAATGAATATGGGAATTGGCCGGTTTGGGTTTGTTTGTTTTGTTTTGTTTTGTTTTTTTAAATCTAATCTCTGAATGAGATTAAAATAAACCAAAGCGTTCGTTGTTTTTTGGTTTTGTTTTTCATAAAGGTGCCAGGCTCATAATAAAATAAAAAATAACGTAATGAGTTTCCATACAGAAGACAAATCAAACAAGCTACAGTTCCAGTGTATCACCTTCATGTGTATCAAGTAAGCTTATTCTCTCTTGCCTCGCCTGTTTCCAAGACCAACATATCGAATGCTTCCCCACCTTTGGAACTAAAAGTGGCCAAACGAATCTTAGTGTACCCACTAACAGAAATGAGCCACGAAAAGATGGCATTCTGTCTAGAGGGCTCCTGGCATCTTCCCCATATATTCATTTTATGAAGAGCTTTTTCCTCCTCAAGTAGGGCAATTGTTAGGTATCTTACATATGCAGGGAAACGAAGAGCTAGGATCCTTGTAAAAATAAACAATAAAAAAAAATAAGTCAAACTTTCAGTAAGATTAGAAGAAGCTATTAAATGACACCCCCCAAAAAAAAAAAAAAAACACAACAATAAAAAGAAGCTATCTAGGAAAACAGATTGAAATTAAGCTGGAAAATGAACAAAATTCTGTAACTTCATGTAAAAATCGGTAAAATGGGACAAAACGTAGCATGTTTACAAGGAAAGATGGTGCCAAGCTATCCTGCTATCCTTGAAGTGGGCAATACATTAGAGCTAAGTTAGCAGAGGAATCAAAGACTTAGTCTAGGGCTGGCTCAATTTAGCATTTTCAACAGTGACTTACAAAAACATAGGAACGCTAACAAAATACAGTTTCAGGGATATCTACAGACCCAACGGTGAAGAAAGAGCCTTCAAAACATAGTACATAAGGAAAGAAAGAATTTCAAGTTTAAACGCATGCTTCAAATGTTGTTTTCAGTACAAGAATCGGACTAATGAAATAGAAATAATTGCTGATGGGACAGAACGTACATTTCAGAATTACAATTTCAGTTGCCTTATGGAGTGAAAAAAGTCACTGCGGCTTTGTCTGCTCAGAAGAAACTTACTCTCAAAATAATGGAGATCTGTCAGTCTTACAGTAGAGGGTTTTTTTTATTTTATATGGATTTCTATAGAAAACTGTCAAAATCAGGAAGAACATTATGCAAAAAAGAATCTGAACTGAAATTATATGACTATGGACAAGTTCGTTAATTGTCTGGATGCCTAAATTCTTAGGCTCTTATAGGCATTTCAAGAATAAAATCCATGAATCCATGGCACCTCAGTCACAAGGGCCACACAAGTAAACCGGAGGAATCCGGCTGATACAGATGTGCTAGTTATAAGTCTTCAAGTCAGCGTTATCAGAGATGTGAAGCGCCAGCTCATTGCAGTGAGACGTTCTGCCGCAGCAGCGGCCGACCACGGAGAGCCAGCCATCAGATTAGCGCTGCCACCAACCGAAATGCTAAAAGAGCTAATTCGAGAGCATTGTAGAAACGTACGGCTGCAAGCTACAGAAGGTTAAAAATAACCACAAAGGCTATTGATTTTTTAAGCATTCTCTCACTAGAAAATAAAAAAAGAAAGAGGAAACTAGGTTAGAGAGACCTAAAAGTTTGCAACTGGCTGCTGATAGCAGCTTTCA